TGCACATTCAACAGCTCTGCCACATTCGAGAACCTGTACATGTCAAATTCACTAACTTAAGATACCTATTCACAAAACTATAAAATTGTGAGAAGRGTCTCTCTCCAGTCTCCATACAATCGAAAGTTCCATAGCTGCTATCATATAACAGTTCTGCATTTATCCAATACAAAGCTCCCTTTCAACAAAACAGTATCTTTGGTTACAATTCAAATAAATTTGCCACCTGGAGGCCAACCTAGCAAATCCGATTAGCTAGTCTATTTGTAGGGACTTGACACTGGATTAACCACTCTTAAATGGAATGAAAATCTGCCACTTTGTTTCATATTTTTTGGTTTCCTTGTTGTCGTGGTCTATGAGAATGGGATGATTGCAAAGACGGAAAAAGATATCTTTTTTTAGATGAGAAAACAATGGGAGGCACTGATCTTGACAGTATGTCCCAATAATTGGAAGGCAAAAGTCTCTCCCACACATTTTCTGATTCCGCCGCCAACAGAAAGACCAAAGATACTGATGACAATCAGCATACATCCCAAGGAGATGTGAAGGAAATGATGTTGGATATGCAAACTTCTAATGAGATGTCGAAATTCACAGTAGCAGTAAGAGAAGGAGAAGCAACAGCATCACTGCTACTACCTTCTTCCCTCTCCCCCGTGTCTGTCTAAAGCAGTGTTTTAAAAGGCATGGGAGGCATACGCCGGGAGGCACTCCCAAAACACCCTGAGGCGTATGCCAGAAGCGCTGACACCTCTTAGGCGTACGCCTCAGGTGCAAGAGGTGTACACCTCTTGCGCTTTTTTCATGAGGCGTGCAAGAGGCGTACGCCTCATGCGCCTCATGCATATCTGATATAAAATGACAGGAAAAAAAAAGAAAAAAAAAGGAAAGGAAAGGAAAGGAAAAGAAAGGGAAGGCAAAGAAAAAGAAAGAGAAGAAAAAAAGAGAAAAGGAAAGGAAAGGGAAGGGAAGAAAAGGGGAAAGAAAGTGGTTTGCCCCCTGCCCCTTCGGCTGGGGGGCTTCACCCCCTTTCAATGCAGCCCAATTCGTTTTTTTTTTTTTATTTAGGGGGGTCTTGCTCCGCTTCCGCTTCAACAAGACCCCCCCCCCCCTTTCAACTAATGTAATGCATCTTTAATCTTCTTAATATAAAAGATTTTTATTAAAAATAAAGAAAAAATGAGATCCCCCCTTCCTCTTCATCCTCCTCCTAACCCCCCTCCTCTTAAGGAGGCGTAAGCCTCCTTGTGTTCGGGAGGCTTACGCCTCTTGCATTCTAAACTACGCCTCACACCTCTAGGTAGTGGAACGCCTCGCGTCACGCCTCCGCGTTTTAAAACATTGGTCTAAAGCTTCCTTAATAAGATTCTTCCGTCTTTCTAGAGTTTGGTGGAAGTCAAATGAGAATAGAAAATTAATGAATTGTCCACTAACAAGTGTTGGACTATTTTACTGTCTAAATGCACTTAGCCAAGAGTTTGACCATTTTTCTCTTTGCTAAATCTAAATTGTAATGTTGGACCATGGCAAGCTGACCATAGAAGTGATGAACTGATGAACAAGTAATTTGGTGGTGGCCTTGCAAATTCATCAGGAGTTGAACCAAATTTTCTAACAGTCCCAACTCTCCCCTCCTCTCAAACCCACGTTTACCTAGCAAAAGGAGAAGAATAAGGCTCAGACAATCTAAGAAATTTCAACAAATTTATTAGCCTTGAACTCTTAAACTTTCTTCATTAAGGCTCTACTTGGCTGCATATAAATTAAATAAAAATAAATAATTTTCTGAAAATGACTAGAAAATGAACATTTATCAAATGTCATTTTGTAAGATAATTATTAATAGACACGACTTAAAGCATCAAGTACTTACATGCCTATATCCACCTACCACTGCAGGGAATTCTTGAGACTCCTACCCCTCTCCCTCTCTCTCTAGTCTCCCTCAAAGAATATCCTTGAACCCTCCAAGCATTTCTTCCTTCAGCAATGACTGTTTACAATTACTCATATCTTGCCAAAATGCTTTTCCAATGTCTATACTGAATTGACAGCCTGAAATGAAAATCTCCCAACAATTTGATGACTGACCACTTCATTGCATCATGCATCAATAGAAGAGGGAAAATCTTTTGTTCTTGTACACTATCCACATATTCTTCAACACCAGGTTCAGACAAAAATCAAATTAATTAGAAAATATAAGCCATTCCAAGAAAGAATTAAGGACAGATTGTCATTATCCCTTGTCGAGATCTGTCTCTCCTGTGTTAGTGGGTAGGGGTCTTGATTTTGCATCTCTTTCCCAACCATTTTTCCCTGTTGGATATTGTACTCTCAGTGCAGGCTGTGCAGCTACACGGAGTAAGTCAATGGATAATGCAGAAGTTGGATAGAACCACAGATTAAAGAAGCAGCTGAAGCCAAGTAAGCACCAATGTTCTAAAACGCAGAGGCATGACACGAGGTGTTCCACTACCTAGAGGCGTGAGGCATAGTTCAGAACATAAGAGGCATAATCCTCCTGAACATGTCTACTTAAGAGGAGGGGGTATGAGGAAGAAGAAGAGGAAGGAGGATCTCATTTTTCTTTATTTTTAATAAAAATCTTTTAAATTAAGAAGAATGAAGGTGCATATCAATAGTTGAAAGGGGGGCTTTCTTTCATTTTTTTTTCTTTCCCTTCCCTTTCTTTTCTTTTCCTTTCCTTTCCTTTTTTTTCTCTTTTTTTTTGTCTTTTTACTTGAGGCACATGAGGCATACACCTCATGCAAAAAGCATATGAGGCGTATGCCTCTTGCACCTGAGGTGTACGCCTCAGAGGTGTCAATGCCTCTGGCATACGCCTCAGGGCATTTTGGGGGCACCTCACCTAGAGGCACACCTTTTGTTGTACGCCTCCCACACCTTTTAAAACACTGGTAAGCACCATGATTTATTGCCAAAGCTGCTATAGTTGTGACACTGGAAGCTGCTGGAGTTGCAACTTCATAAATTTCATCATCTCTGATTCTCTATTTGATTCAACAATCACCACTACCACTGCCGAAGTCAGTATTCAGTGAAAATAATCCAATCCCCTTATCTGGCTATTTCAACTTCTTGAATACCCACGTGAAAGACATCAGCAGGCCAGCAGAACAAGGTGATAGCCTTTTAGAACTGTTTCTTAAAAGTTCATAGCCAATCTAAAAACTAGCCAGGGGACCACATTTCTTCCATTTCTATATCAACTTTGTAATTCAGATTTCTTTTTGTTCTTTTTGATAAGTAGTAAGAAGCATTTTAATAAAGATTAAATAAGAACTATTGGAGGATACAGCATAAAATATCCATAAAGAGGCACGAGGCGGCCTCAAAAACAAAAGAAGATTACAAATGATCCCAGAATAAACGACTCCTATGCACCCCTTGATTAGCTAGAAAGTCTTCCAGCCCATTAGCTGATCTCCTCTTCCAGTCTCCCACTGAACTCTCACTAATATGTTGGAAGTTAGCCATTTGAATCTTCTCATTGCCCCCCTAAAGAACCAAGTTACAGCCCAACTCCTTCAACCACCAAATACCAGTTTAGAATCATCTTCAATTAGCAACCTCCCAAAGTTCAGATCTCTAGCAATATATGCTCCTTGTAGAATTGCTTGAACCTATGCACCAACAATCATCGCCCACTTCAATTGGACCAAAAAACAAGGCAACAATCTGACCCTCTGTATAAAGCTTTCTTCGGAGGGCTCCAATCTGTTACAGGCTTGTTCTTGACTAAAGAAGATTTTGCAACCAATTCTCAGATTCTCCAAAGACCATCAAAGGAGAATTGTGAGAAAAGATCCAATGAATTACTTATACCAAATGATAGACCTGCTCGAAATGCAACCCCAAATAGTAGCATCATCCCTTTCTTTGTCATTAAAAATCCTAGCATTTCTTTCCTCCCAAACTGTCCATACCAAAGCAGTCCTAGCACATCTCTACAACACTCTCCCTCTTCTCTTACACCACCTGAAGGTAGTTGAGTCAAGGAGTCCACCAATATGCAATGGCACTGTCCACCTACATCCAAAATGACCAGAAATCTTTTCCCAGTGTTGTACAACAAAAAGGGCATGAGATCAGTAGGTAGTAACAGCTTTCTTTATTAGCTTTGCAAAGGAAACAACAGTTTGGAGATATACTAAGGTTAGGTCTTCTCTTCCCAAGAGAGACTTCCTAACAAAGGGCTCCCACTTTAGTGGGGATGGGTTTGGACCAAATTTCATTGCAAAAGAAAGGTTGAGGGTTAGGGACAGGGTATAACCAAGAGAAAAAAGAAGCACAAGAAAACAAGCCCATCGATTAGGAGTCCAGTACAAGCATCAGGTTTAGAGTAATCCAAAAAAAACAGAGTTAAGAGTTTTGAGAAGTGAAGCAGCTTGGTCAAGCTCTAAATCTCTCATATCTCTTCTAAAGCCCAAATTCCAATTGTGCCCAAAAGTTTGAGAAAAGAAGACAAGCTCTGAATGGGCCCATTTCTAAATAGGGACAGAGAAAACATGGAGGGAAAAAGGTCCTTGAGAGTGGAGCTATCATGCCAGACGTCCTCCCCTTATCCCAATACGCACATCATACCTAACAAGGCTTAGGAAATTGGGAAGAATGTCACGAATATCCAGCCTTTCACAGAGAATTCAAAGTGGCTCGTCAAGAAACACAAGCATCCCAACTGTTACCTACACACCCATGAATACTACCTATTACCTTATGCCAAAGTCTTTCCCTCTCTAAAGGCTATCTCCATAGCCATTTACCCAACAAAACTATATTCTTCTTTCTTAAATTGTGTAAGCCCAAGCCCCCTTGCTTCTTACTTCTGCACACTAACTCCCATCTCACCAAGTGATCCTTTCTTTCTTTTCTTTCTTTATCAACCTCCCATAAGGAATCCCTCATTATCTTCTCTATTTTTGATACCTCCTTTTGTGTTATCTTAAAGACAGAGGAAGTAAACTGGAAGGTTTGCTAAGGTAGACTTTATCAAAATAATTCACTCCCCAAGAGACACATAATTCCTCTTCTAAGCTAACAACTTCTTAGCACAATTTTCAACAATTGGGTTCCAAACAATTAGATAACAAAAGATGAAAATCAAAACATACATTACTCATATCATCTTTTTTCTAGCTATCGATCATTCCATCTATGAAAATGAAAACAGAAAAAAAAATAATAAAACGAAGGGGAATGGGTTGGAGACTCTGATTAATTACTCTGTTTAGGCCTGAGCTCAATTCCTTGGATGATGAGGCCAGACTTCCAATTACCACCTTTGATCTCCATGAGACTCATCTCCACCTCCCCATCTTCTCCCCAATCGTTAAAGAACTCACCCATCTCTATCTCCATCCACCCATCTCCTCGTTCCCGTGGGAACAGTCCATTTTGTCGTGACAAAGACACGGATGGCCGCACGACGGACGGTGTCAACATGAACTGTCTCAGATTGTGGAAAAGTTCCTGAAGCCGATCTCGTGCCGTCCAAGTTTGATTTGAAATATTGCCTTCAGGGTCCAGATAGACATTGCGAATTCCTTCATCAACAGCCCCACCCCCACCTCCGACGAACCTCACTGACACCTCTGCCGGGTTGACGTCAAGCCCTCGTCTGACCTCCTCAAACTTGAGCACGATGTAAGCAGCATAAGTCGTTCTTGGTGATAGCATTCGCGTATCCATCTTCCCATGCACTTCGAGCCAACACACATTCAAGAGCTCAGCCACCACCGGGAACCTGTTTATTCCAAAATCACATTATACCAAGAACGAGAGAGAGAGAGAGAGAGAGAGAGAGAGAGAGACCTGGAATCAGGAAGGGAAATCCACCTCCAATACCTAGGAGTATCTCCCCATACGATTGAAAGCTCCTTAGCTGCTATCATATAACATTTGCTTCCACTGCTTTTCTCCAACGCAAAGCTCTGCAATCAACAAAAACAACCAGCGGTCCTTAATGTTTTGCTCTTCGTTCTTTTTGTCTATTACACAGATTTTCTATGTTTCTAAGAAGATAATATTAGTAGAAAACCAGGGGTTTATTATATTACCTTGTTCCCGCCGTCGATGATGATGGGATGATCGGTGAGATAGAAATAGAGATCTTTCTTAGATGAGAAGGCGATCGGAGAGACTGATCTAGAGAGGATTTCCTGGTAATCAGACGGCAGAAATCTCTCCCACACGGAGTCCGAATCTACCGCCGACCGGAAGACCGACGAGACCGCCGACAATCGGCAAGCATCCCGAGGAGAAGTGAGTGAGATGATGTTGGAGATGCAACCCTCCGGCAAGACAGAGAAATTCACCGTAATACCTTTTTCCATTTCATATGCTAGTCTCTTCTTCACCATTTCTGTAACTCTATTTAAGAATTTCTCTTATCGTTAGGTCGGTTATACTGCATTAAGATACAGAACTACCCCTTGACATAAAACAATATTACAAACAATATTACAGAAGAGAACCTATGCCCATTGGTTGTTCCTTGTTCGTAGTCCATCCAATCTAGGGGAAATTCTTATCTTATTCAAAAAAAAAGGGAAATTCCTCAATTTTGGGCTTAGTCCACTTTGATGCTGATAAGTACTGCCATTAACGGCTGTTAAATGATATATAAAAAGATATAAATATCCTTCAGGTATTTTTTAAGTTTTTTTATAAACCATATGTTCGGGTCATGGCTGAGCTGGCCCTACGAGATACGTGGCCGCCCAGTTATTGCTCTACCACATCATCCTAACTCGTCCATGTCAACCTAGTATGGCCGAGCTACGCTACCATTGTGGCCCCCATCTTATCTTTCCAGTCACATCAACTACACGTCATATGAATGAGCACAACTACAAATAAGGAGTAAGGAAGATGACTCCGCTGGGGAATAGGACTCTATCCCGAATACCTCGGTGGCAAACCTCATCCCGACAACCCCGAAAGCCTAGTCGGACTAGGACATGGATCTTTGGCTATAAAATGGTACTCCATGCTCGAGGTAAAGGATCCAGCTTTTGACACTCTTACTAACTTGAGCATTGGAGTGCTTACCCGGGGGTAACTCCTCGGGCCTTTGACATTTGTTTCCTTTGATCATAGGTCTTGAAGTGCGGTCTCGTCCTTGTAGCTCGGCCCCACCCTGCCAGCAAGGACTATCTGGTTGCTCTCCTCAGTTCATGCACCACCTCGGATTGAGCAACATCAGATTGGCGCCGTCTGTGGGAACTACACAAAAAGTCCTTCCCCAAAATCCTTCATTACCGCACAATCAAGAAAGCGATCAAGATGCCCAAAAACCAGCCCGAGCGTTCAACAGGCCGATCCCCATCTCGGGAGTCTCACCACCGTAGTCCTCTGCATCAAGAAACTCCACAGGCTCCGGCCGCGATTGATCCTGAACAGTTCCTATCAATGCAAGAAAATGTCGATAAGATCTTCGAAATGATGCAAAACCTAGGACCCGCGGCACCGCCCAACAAGATCGTCCCCCCTTATGCACCGAGCAGACAAGGGCATAGCGCGATCCAACCAAGAAAAGCAGGATACAATAAGAAGGTCGGCCCCCTCCGTCCGCTCTTGTAGCAAGACGCACCAAACCTCACGAATCCCTGCCAAGGAAAGGCTCGGTAGACGAACGCAACCTCACGTGGTCTCCATTGCCAAATCCAACTCCATGAAAGACCGTGCGGTACGCCCCAAGAAGGAAAGGGCAATGCACACTGTGGCTCCGGACCAAAGGGATGATGAAATTCGAGAACTCCGTCAGCGCTTAGAAGAGCTAGAACACAACTAGAGAAGCATGACGCCAGTTGTAGATCAGCCCACGCCACCGATCGTGCCCACGGCAAAGGAACCACCCTTCATCCAAGAAATTGTGGACGACGTAGCTCCCACAGGATGGCGGACACCTCAGCTTAACAAGTACGATGGAAACATTGATCCCGCTGACCATATTGAAGCGTTGAAGGCTCAGTTAATGTTGCATGGATCCTCCGAGGGCTTGATGTGCAAAACTTTAGTGGCCACCCTCGCAGGTCCAACCCTAACATGGTATTCTTCCCTGCCTCTACGCTCAATAGCGTCGTGGGAACAGTTGGAGACCTGGTTTCGTGCTCAGTTCACGGCGAGTCAAAAGCATTGGAAGACCTCGGCCAGCCTCATGCAGGTGCAACAGAGGAAAAACGAGTCCCTCAAAGACTACCTAGCCAGATTAAACAAGGAAGCGTTATAGGTTAGGAACCTGAACCAGTCTGTGGCTATCACCGCTATCCAACATGGCCTCGGCCCATCCCCATTCAACTTCTCCATCTCCAAGAACCCTCCGCAAACCCTGACAACACTGATGAGCCATGCGCAGAAGTATATCAACGTAGAATAAGCGCAGACACAACTATGGGATGAGGAAGAGAGGCCCGACAAGAGGAGGAGAGATACTGAGGAGCGAAAGTCAGAAAGATCAGATCGGGACAATAAGAGGCAAGACCACCAACCCGACCAAAGACCACGAAGACCCCCACCGACCTAATGGAACTTCATGTCGCTCAATATGCCGCGGTTTGAAGTCCTGATGCAAATCCACGATCATAACTACGTTCATTGGCCCGAGAAGATGAAAATGCAAAGCAACAAGAGGAATCACGACAAATATTGCGAGTTCTATATAGATCATGGTCACGACACGAAGAACTGCTTCGACCTATGCAACCACATTAAAGACCTAGTCAGGCGCGGATACCTTGGTGGGTTCATCAAGAGCGAGAAGCTGGCACAAGAAGAACAGCATGCGGAGGATGCTCGACCGCCGCCCCGAGCTCCCCCTACTGGTGTGATCCACGTCATATCAGGTGGAATCGCTGCAGGAGGGGAGAGTAGCTCGGGGTGCAAGAAGTATGCACGACTGTGTGAAATCGACAATCGGGGACACAAGAAGAAGTGCGGCCAGACCATCACATTCACCGACGATGACCTCCGGAGGATCCAGACCCTGTATGACGATGCCTTGGTAATCACAATCGAGGTGGCCAACCTCGGGATGAGACGGGTCCTGGTTGACACGGGTAGCTCTGTCGATGTACTCTTCGAGGACGCATTTGAAAAGCTCGGCATCGAAAAAGAGCGCCTCACTCCTGTCAACACTACCCTAATGGGCTTCTTGGGGGAGTCCCTCCTACCCACTGGGAAAATAACTCTTCCCCTACTGATTGGAGACGGTGACGTTACTACAACGACCATGGTGGACTTCACTGTGGTTCGTTGCCCCTCTTCGTACAACGTCATCCTTGGTAGGTCGACCCTTGATGCTCTGCAAGTTGCAGTCTCCACATTTCATCTTGCTATGAAGTTTCCCATCGAATATGGCATAGGGGTAGCACGTGGAGATCAAAGAACTGCACAACAATGCTACTTGCTCTCTTGTCGAGGACCACGACCGGCCGCAAAAACACTGATGAAAGAAGCTTATGACTTTTGAGATGAAGTGAGGACACATCACAATCAACCTGTCGGGGACCTCATCCAAGTGCCGCTTAACAAAGGAGATCCCGAGAAGACAGTCCAAGTCAGTTCTCTCTTAAATGACCACCTCTGGGAATAGCTTGTACAACTACTGAGAGACCACGCCGACGTATTTGCCTGGTCGGCGGCGGCAGATATGCCGGGGATCGACCCTGAAGTCATTATACACCGTTTGAACGCCGACCCCCGCTACCGACCTATAAAATAGAGGAAGAGGAGCTTTGCAACAGAACGGTGACAAGTGATTGCAGACGAAGTACAAAAGCTACTCGACGCCGGCTTCATTCGGGAGGTCAAGTACCCTGACTTGCTGGCCAACGTGGTAATGGTGAAAAAAGACAATGGGAAGTGAAGGATATGCATCGACTTCACCGGCCTAAACAAGGCTTGCCCCAAAGACAACTTTCCTCTACCAAGGATCGATCAACTTGTTGACGCAATGGCGGGCCATGGGCTCATGAGCTTCATGGATGCCTTCTCAGGGTACAATCAAATCCGGATGCATCCTGATGACCAGGAGAAAACAGCCTTTATCACCGACTGCGGCTTATATTGCTACAAGGTCATGCCCTTTGGCCCCAAGAACGCTGGCGCCACTTACCAACGGCTGGTGAATGAGGTGTTTAAAGATCAGCTCGGCCAAAACGTAGAGACATACGTCGACGACATATTAGTGAAGAGCAAGAAGGCCGAGTAGCACCTTGCCGACCTAAAGGAAGTTTTTAATACCCTCAGGAAGTATAAGATGAAGTTGAACCCGACCAAATGTGCTTCCTGGGGTTCATGGTGACGCAAAGGGGGATTGAGGCAAATCCAGAGAAGATACAGGCCATCCTTGACATGCAATCGCCCCGAACCCACAAAGATGTGCAGCGACTCACCGGTAGAATAGCCGCCCTTAGTAGGTTCATGTCCAAATCTGCAGACCGGTGTCTACCCTTCTTCAAAACCATCAAATGACCGAATGACTTCAAATGGACCGAGGAATGTGAATGGTCCTTTCAAGAACTGAAGCGGTACCTAAGTTCGCCGCCTCTCCTCACTAATCCGAGCCTAGGGGATGAGCTATTGCCTTACCTCTCGGCCAGGGATGAGGTCGTCAGCTCGGTACTAGTCAAGGAGGAAGACCGGGTACAAAGGCCAATTTACTACACCAGCAAAGTACTTGGTGGCGCGGAAACCCGGTACTCCAACTTGGAGAAAATGGCTCTGTCTCGAGTCACCTCAGCCAGAAAGCTCAGACCATACTTTCAGGCCCATAGTATCTGAGTGCTCACCGACTAGCCGCTTAAGCAAGTCCTCCAAAGGCTGGAAGCATTGGCCGCTTAATCAAATGGAGCATGGAGTTGAGTGAGTTCGACATTGAATATTCACCTTGACCCGCGATTAAAGCTAAGTCCCTAGCCAACTTCATTGCTGAATGCACATTCACCACCGAGGATCCTGCCCTGCCACTGCAAATATGGACCCTGCACGCGGATGGCTCGTCCAATCAGCAAGGCAGCGGAGTTGCCCTTATTCTTCTCAGCCCGGATGACATGGTGTTAGAGCATGCCCTTAGGTTCGAGTTTAAAGTGTCCAACAACGAAGCTAAGTATAAGGCTTTGATCGCCGGGCTACGCCTCGCCCTAGACCTGGGAGCTCGGAGAGTAGAAGCCTTCAGTGATTCTCAGCTAGTGGTCAACCAGATCCACGGACAATTTGAGACAAGAACGCCTACGATGGCAGGTTACCTACAAAAGGTGCAGGGGCTCATTTGTCGACTTGAGCACTTCAATATCCAGCAGATTCCTCGAGCTGAAACATGCGAGCCGACACGCTATCCAAGTTGGCCAGCTCCCCGAGAACCGACCTCGGCAAGACAACACAGTTGGACACTCTGGCCCAGCCGAGCATCACGAAGACAACTCTCCTCATCCTCCCGGTACAGCATGACCCATCCTGGATGGACCCCATAGCATAGTACCTCCACGAAGGCATACTTCCAGAAGATCAAACAGAAGCGAAGAAGCTCCAACATAGATCAGATCTATATTGTCTTATCCAGGGTCAACTCTACCGCCAATCATACATTCTCCCCTACTTGAAATGCCTCTCTCCATCCAAGGCAAACTATGTCCTTAGGGAGATCCACAAAGGTATTTGTGGAGACCATCCCAGTGCACAAACGCTGGCATGCAAGGCACTCTGGCAAGGTTACTTCTGGCCGATGATGAAGCAAGGCGCAACCCAATTAGTTCGAAGATGTGACAGTTGTCAACGACACTCCAATCTCCATCACCAACTTGTAGTCCCCCTGAAGCCAATCATTAGCCCATGGCCATTCGTGCAATGGAAGATGGACATCCTCAGCCCCTTCCCCACTACAGTTGCTCAGAAAAAGTTCCTCCTAGTGGCGGTGGACTACTTCACCAAATGGGTGGAAGCCGAAGCTCTGGCGTGCATTACTATGCGTAATGCCCGAAACTTTTCCTGGCAAAGTATTGTCTACCGATTCGGTATTCTGTGCATCCTCATCATAGATAACGGGACACAGTTCACCGATCAAAAGTTCGAAGCCCTCTACTCCGACCTGAAGATCGACCATCGGACCACTACTGTACATCAACCCCAAAGCAATGGGCAGACCAAGGTGACCAACCAAACCTTGTTGCACGGCCTGAAGACTCGGCTAGACCAGGCCAAGGGGAGGTGGGCCGAGGAACTGCTGAGCATACTCTGGGCATACAGGACTACTCCATGGATAGCCATTGGTGAGACACCCTTTAGCCTGACCTACGGAGCCGAAGCAGTGGTTCCTGTAGAGATTGGCTTTCCAACCCTCTGGACCGAGCTCTTCGATGAAGACCAGAACAACGAGGACCTCTGCGCAAAAGTAGACCTGATTGAGGAAGCCCGGGACCAAGCATATGCTCGGATGGTAGCACAACAGTAGAGGATGGTGAAGTACTACCACATTAAAGTCAGAAGACGCGAGTTCAAGACAGGCGACCTCATCCTTCGCAAAGTCATAGTGTCCACGCCCGGAGAAGGAAAGCTCAGACCAAACTGGGAAGGGCCGTATAGAGTCACCAAGGTTCTTGGTCTGGGCACCTATAGGCTCGAAGACCTGGATGGTTGACCAATATTGAGGAGTTGGAAAATAGGAAACCTACGAATGTACTATCAATGATTTAGTATTAATAAAAGAGCACCTCGTTCAAGCAAAACATTGAGCGCCTAACCCACTACATGCACACAAACTGCACAGAGCACGAGCTACACGATAATGTTGCGCATATATAGCTCGGTATAACCCATTGACTCAGCTGACCTCCGAACGGCCTGACCCCACAACGCATAGCTCGGCAGCGCATCGCTGACCTACCTGACTCAGCTGACCTATGAACGGGAACTTTGGGAGTCTAGCCCGTCCCGACTATGAATTGTCAAGCACGGCACATGGATGTCCGAGCTACTGCTACCCACCTCAACTTGCATAGGGAAAGCCGTCGAGCGAGCTTCCCTGGGTTCCACGACCACTACGTCCTCATCATCGTTTCCCCACCGCCGAGCTCTCTTCTGCCGGCGAGGTGCCTTCTCAAAAGACCTCAAGGGAGGAACTACCTCGGCACGGACCTGCAGTACCGCGCTATCCCAGCTCTGCCTCTGGTGATTCTCCTTCATCTGGCGTACGATCTCCTCTTCACTAGCCATCTTTACACCTGCACCACGAAAGCACGACAGTAAGTTTGAAAACAACGATGCAAAGAAAGTTCAAAAAGATAAACCAACGAAAAGGATAGACCAGCCACCCCACGCATCAACACGCTGAGCTTCAGCATCTTCGAGCATGTATACACACTTACATCTATCTTGTGGATCATGCTCAGATTCAACCTTTCCTCCCAAGTAAGCGCTGACCATTGAGTTTGGGGCACTCTCGTTCTTGGCTCTTGTAGCACGACCAGGATGGGGAGGCCCCCAGGACAGTGGGCAAAGTAAAAAATTACCTTCCAGTGCTTCATAGAGGAAGGAGCCCTGACCAGCACTTTGATGTCCTTCCTAGTCGAGAAATAGAAATAGCCTTGCTAATGAGGTTTGAGCTGAAGAAGGAAGCTCACCATACCCAGGGTCAACTCGATATCACGGACAGTGCAGTAGGACAAAAGGCCAACCAAAAACCTAAAGGAGTTCGGCATCAGTTGCACTGGCAGTACTCGGTACCATGCGAGTACCTCGGCAACCCCTTTGTTCAGAGGAAACCTCAACCTGACCTCCAGACTGTTCTCGTACACACAAAGTTCGTCGGGCTGAGCATCAGTTGCCATTTCACCGTGCTGTGGGCACCTCATTCAGAAATCCTCGGGGATGTCATACATAGCTCAAATCCGAGCCATATCCTCGAGGCCCAACGCAGAGGGCGTAGTCCCAAATCGGCAACCAGCGCGTGGCGGAAGCTTGGCTTCTACACTAGAGGGACCAACCTCGGCCTCCTAAACCTTGACCCCCTCAACCTCAGCATCCTCAAAAACCCCAACCTTGGATTCGTAATCGGACCCACTAGAACCAGAAGAGCTAGAAGAGAAAGAAGAATGGGAAGATGAGGAAGTCATCTTACTGAGCTTGAAGCTAAGGAACAAAAATAAAGCGTCGAGCAATGATGACATCACCCCGCTGAGCTATCCCAGCAACTCCTCTCGTAAATGGCAAAGGGGGAATGCCCCTTCACCCCTTCTTATAGTCCATAGGGACACGAATCGATGCTAGATGTACGGTAGGGATCGAGAGCCACCCTAACAAAGCTCAGGAAGACCAATCGATATGACTGTTACCGCATGTGTGAAGCCTCGAAAACCGAAGCGACAACCTTGACAAGCAACGACTAGTGCATTAATTGCTCCGGTCCACCCCGCAGCAGCGGTCCACCCACCGACGTGGTGCTAGGGGTTCGCTCAGGTCCACCGGACATCAACT